TGGCATTCCTACAGTCAAGATACATTTCCATCCCCATAAGAATTCCCTGCATTTCCCTTTCATACCTACACCCACTTACCCTGCCTCCAATCCCTCCTTAACTTCTGGAAACCACTATTCTCTGTTTGTATAATTTTGTCATTTTAGGAATGTTATATAAATGGAATCATACAGTGTGTAACCCTTTTGGATTGGCTTTTTTCACTCAGTATAATTCTCTGGAGATTCATCCAGGTCATGTTTGTATCCACAGTGTGTTCCTGTTCATTGCTGAATAGTGCTCCATGATATGGATGTACCACAGTCTGTGTCATCACTCAACCATTGAAGTACATTTTGGTTTTCTTCCTCACTTTTTGTCTATTATGAATAAATTGCTATAACCATTTCTGTACAGGTTTTTGAGTGAACATCAGTCTTCCCTTCTCTGTGACAAATGCCTAGGCACCATTGCTGAGTTGTATAGTAGTGGCATGTTTAGTTTTTAAAGAAACTGCAAAACTATTTTCCATTTTCCATTTCCACTAGCAATAAATGAGTCATCCCTTTATCCACGTCCTTGCTCCTATGTGGTATTGTGACTATTTTTATCTTAGCCATTCTGATAGGTGTGTGGTGACATTTCCTCATGCTTTTAATTTTCATTTCCCCAATGGCTAATGATATTGAAATTTTTTCCCGTGCTATTTCACATCTGTACATGATTTTTAGTGAAAAGTCTGTTCATGGATTTGTCCATTTTTTTATTTCTCCCAGCCAGGAGGTGGGAGTCTGGGGTAATGGGGATGCGGGCCCTCAGGCGCAGGTGGAACTGCTTGAGCCTCCACGGGCTGGGTTCATGTGGGAGTAGTGGATGTGACTCCTGTGGGATGGAAGCCAGCCTATGTAGGGCGCCACACACTCCGGACCCCTGACCCCTGGGCTGCCCTAGGAGCAGTTCTATGTGCACTGCCCCCCTTCCTAGTGCTGTGCGGCTGCAGAGTGCTGCTCACCAGAGCCCCCAAGGCCAGGAGCCACTCAAACCATGTGCACACAATGGGCTGCGACCCCGCCCGTGACACCACTTGGCAGAGGTCCTAACCCCGTGACAACGATGCCAGCCAAGGTCCCTCATCCCATGACACTATGGACTGAGGCCTCACCTCCTGTGAAGACGTGGTACATGGAGGCCGGGCCTCTGTGACACCAGCTCCCTTCCCACTGGTGACTTCACTGCTGGCAGAGGCCCCACCTTCCCTCATTTTCTAACTGGTATGTTAATTTTTTTCCATGTCTTTATATGTCTTTTTTTTTCCATGTCTTTTCATGGTTTGATAGTTCATTTCTTTTCAGCACTGAATAATATTCCTTCGTATGGCTATATCACAGTTTATCTATCAGTTCACCTACTGAAATACGTCTTGGATGCTTCTAAGCTTTGGCAATTATGAATAAAGCTGCTGAAAACATCTGGGTGCAGGTTTTTGTGCAGATATAAGTTTTGGACTCATTTGGGTAAATACCAAGGAATGTGATTACAGGATCATATGGTAAATGTATGTTTAGTTTTGTAATAAACTGCCAAACTGTCTTCCAATATGGCTGCAGCATTGTGCACTGACAGCAACAATGAACGAGAGTTTCTGTTGCTCTACACCCTCACTAGCATTTGGTTTGGTCAGTGTTTTGGATTTCTGCAATTCTAATAGGTATGTAGTGGTATCTCATTGTTGATTTAATTTGCAATTCCCTAAAGACAAGTAATAATGATTATATTTTCATATGCTTATTGCCATGTGTGTATCTTCTTAGGTGAGATATCTGTTCAGATTTTATAAAATTATTTATTTAATTAGTTACTTGGTTATTTTTTATTGTGGGTAAAAAACATAACCTGAGATCTCTCAACAAATTTTGAAGTGTATAGTACAGTACTGTTAACTGTAAGCAAAATGTTGTATAGCAGATCTCTTGAAATTTTTCATCTTGTGTAACCTAAATCTTAGACCTGTTGAGAGCAACTCTTCATTTCTCCCTCCCCCAGCCCCTGGCAAACAACATTCTACTTTCTGCTTCTATGAGATTGACTATCGAGAAGCACAAGCACTAAACTTACTAGACAAAGACCTTAAAACAACTATCTTAAATATGCTCAAAGAAGTAAAAGAAAATATAGATGAAAAACTAAAGGAAATCAGAAATATGATATATGAACAAAATGAAAATATCAACAAAGAGATAAAAATTATAAAAATAAAACAAATAGAAATTCTGGAGCTGAAAAATACAATAAGTGAATGCAAAGATTCAGTAGAGCAGTTCAAAGCAGATTTGTGCAGGCAGAAGAAAGAATCAGGGAACTTAAACATAGGATATTTGAAATTATCAAGTCTGAGGAGCATAAAGAAAAAAGAATGTTTTCCTCCTAAGAACGGTAACAAGACAAAGATGTCTGCTCTCATCACTTCTACTCAACATGATACTGAATGTTCTAGTCAGGGCAATAAGGTAAGAAAGACAAATAAAAAGCATTCAGATTGGAAAAGAAGATGTAGTTGTTAGACAACATGTGAGACATTATTATCAATTTGGAAAATACTAAAGAATTTACCAAAAAAAAAGCTACTACAACTAATAAGTGAATTTAGCAAGATTGCAGGATATAAGATAAATATTCGAACAAATTCTATTTCTATATACTAACAACAAAAATTAGAAATTGAAATTAAAAAGCAATATCATTTACAATAGCATCATAAAATTTGAAATAGAGATAAATTCACAAAATATGTGCAAGACGTACAAAAAAACTATAAAACGTTTCTGAGAGAAAATAAAGATATTCTAAATAAATGAAGAGATGTACCATATCTAGGGATCAAAAGACTTAATATTGTTAAGTGGATTCACTCAGGAATTTTTCCTGCATATATACCCATAAATGTGTACAAAGATTTATATATATGAGGTTTGTATCAGCACTACTATTCAGAGCAAAGGACCATAAATAACTAAATATCCATGAATAGAGAATTGAAGATGAGTTGTGTTACAGTGATATTAACGAAGACATTATAGCCATTTAAAAAACTGTATGCACAAGATATATTTATGTTATTAAATAAAATAAGAAAGAAGCAAAATTGTCTAAACTACCATTTGTGAAGAAAAACATAAACATTCATTTGTTTTTGGCTATGCTAGATTATTCTGGAAAGATACACAGGAATCTGTTAGGAATGACTGGCTCAAGGAGGAAAAATGGGAGACGAAAGACAAGGGTAAGAGTACCTATTTACTACATACCTTATTCTGCCTATTGAATTTTGTAGCATGTATATGTATGCCTACTTTTAAAAAACCAATTATTTTCAGTGATTGAAGTCAATTAAGTGCACTGGCTCTTCATCAAGAGGCCTCACCTCTGCACCTCCAATCTTTCCCAATGTCCTCTCCAGTCCACACACCTGCACATCTGCTAGAGACAGATGCATTTCTTACTGCCAGCTGCACTCGTGGCCCATTCCTCAGTGCTCTGCATTCATTGGTAAGTTTCTCCCCAACCTGGAACATGCTCCTTTCTCTCGCAGGCTGCACTTTTAGATCCAACTCCAACATCACTCAACCTGGGAGCTCTCTGACCACCCTGATCCTCACTATGCTTTCTCTCCTCTAAAATGGGATGTTTGTGACCTGGGCCTCACATGTGAGTACACAATTCTATTTGTTCCAGATTGTTGGCTCTTCCTTCATGTGTTTTAGTCTTATCTTGGAAACCAGAGTAAATGTCTTGAGAGCAGGAAGGCAACATGACTCAAATGTCTTTGTACCCTTGACACTGCCCAGCTTAGGGATGAGCACAGACTGAGGGATCACCAGGCCAGCTGGGTGGAGGACTGGATGCTGGAGGAAGGACCAAGTAGCCTCTTCAGGGATCGTGAGCTCAAGGATTCTTGGCTGTGACAGACCACATCACTAGGGCAAGATTCTCTCAAGGAAATGCAGAAATCCTAGACTATTAGAGAAATATGACAATAGGCACAGATGTCAAGCAGGTGACATAAACGTGTAAATAAATAGGCAGAGTATAGGAGTGATGGGCCCTGGGGAGGAATCAGAAAACAACCGGCCTGCCTGAAGGCTTCACAAGTCCAGTGAAAAAACAAAAACAAACAAAAAAATTCCTTCAGGAAAACAGCATACATCCAGAGTTGATGAGTAGATATAACCACAATCAGCAACTAGTTTATGATCTTAAGTCAGAAGTGGGCACCAACCCATCTCTGCAGGTAGTCATCTCCATGAGTAGACAGAATTCTATAACATGGAAAAACAGCTCTAGAAAACAAACTCTTAAAAGAGCTCCATAAGTGAGTCTAATCAGTGCCTCCAGGGAAGGCAGCATTTACAATCTCTTCCCACCACACAGAATGGAAGCTTCACTTCCTCCACACATGTGAATTTCACGGTATTGCCACCTGGACCTTCCTGCCACATCAGCCATGGTCCCCTTCATGCACCTCTGAGTTCCCATAACCCATTGCCTGTAATAGCAAAACTCTCCAAGCCATAACCAGACTCGGCCCTCCCTCATCTCATGGGTGCTTCTCAGACATATTTCCAGTACAGGTGGAGCACTTGGTGGAGGATCCTTTGTCTCAGCCATTCTTCTTCAAAAGGTGCCCTGTGTCCCTAAACACGCAGTTCTCTGGGAATGGATGACCACACAGTCGTCGTGAAGGAGACAGCTGAGCCATCGAGCTGCTGTAGGGTGTGGAGAGTGAAGACAAAGTGCGAGCACAGACTCTACCTGTGAGCAGGCACCTTTAGGGCCAGGCTCTGTAACCCTGACAGACAACCAGACACCCTCCTCTACAGACTGACTCACCACATAAGCCTCCCTAAGACAGATCAAGGACTCTGACACGACACCTGCCTTGTGAAACAGACGGGCTTTGTGATGCAGTCAGCTGGCCTGGTTCCGTCCTCTGTGAGGCGGACAGGACGAGGCATAGCACTGGGAGTCATTAGGCACCAGACCCTGAACGCCTAGAGAGAGGGATGGTTGGTCTCCTCATGCCAATGAGGTTTAGACCATGTTGAGCCCTACTTTTCTTTATGGCTCCATCTTCATTATTGTCTTGCTCATCTGGCAAGTGAAAAGGAGTTATGATGGAGTAAGGCTGGAACCTAAAAGGAGCTGCTGCCGGGTAAGGAAATACTATGACCACGATTGAACTAATGAAGCCTCAGATAAGAAGCTTTTAAGATCACAGAGTCTCTCCTTTTACCCTTTGCCCTCCCCCAATTTTATACCATGCATTCAGTGACTCTTCCATGGCACTGCTCTTATAGAGCCTAGAAATAATTCCTTACCAGGCCATCCCTGCAGTGTATTCTAACTGAAAAATCAAGACCCTCTCTATCAGGCTTGGGCTGAGACCCAGATGAAATGGAATCTACTCACAGGATCTCAGAAGACCTCCTAATACGGGGGATCTTTCTGGTTGGTGGTCCAGTAAGGCATTTCTTAGCAGAAGTCCTTTAGCTTTAGACCTACACACCCAATAATCTGCTCCACTCTTTCTCCTGTTTCATCATGAGCCTCAAGCAGAATTTCTCCTGGGAAATAACTGGGAAGTAGAGTATATGGAGGAGGCTCGAAATGAATCAGAAGTAAGCAGAGAAGAGAAATGTTGGGGTGAGAAAAGATGGGGTATGGAAAGGAGGGTTAGGAAAGTCAATAAAATACCGACAGATAGACAGAAAGGGACAGGGAAATGTATACATCTTTGGTCTCATTTAACATGAAAAAGAAAATAGTATGCCAGCTTCACACTCTAACTTTTTTGTCTTTAAGCGTCATCGAAAAGTCAGACAAAGGGCTAGAGATGCAGCATCAAGAGGTAAAGTCCCATTCTCTGCTCTGACTGCTCCACCGTGGGCATGGTTCCCATGCACCCTGTCTCGCTATGACCCCTGGTGACAGGAGCCAGTGCTCTCAACACTAAAGGCTCCAACTCTCCAGGTTGACAAATTCTCCCAGAAGACTTTCTTGGTGGGAAATCAGAGCCCAAGAATGTTCCAAAATTCTCCACCTTATCCCAGGGAATGAAGTACAAGGAAGAAGGCAGAAGTCGTTAGCTGTGTCATTTACTGGTTCTATGACTCTGTCGAAGTTGCCTCATTTCTCAGTCTTGTTACCCATGAAATGGGCATCTGATGATCCTGCCTCACTCACGGTGTGCTGGTGGTGATCAGATGAGATTAGGTCTGGGACAGCACATTGTAACTAATTAAGCTGTACACAGACGTGCCTTAAAGCGTTGATTCTTGGGGTTTTCAGTCTCCTCTAATCCAAAGGCCTTCAGCTTCCTATAGGATGTCTCTGAATCCTCTCCCCTTCCATGTAACACTGTCTCCTGGTTTCTCAGCTAGGAGACGTTCCCAGAAAGAAGCTGAGAGGCCGTGGGAGCTGCTCTCTGTCATGAAAAGGTGATCTCTTGCTCTTTGCAGTCTCCCAACTCCCAGCCTGGCCTGTGATGATTTCTCTGCTTAGTCAGAGACAGGGATGAGGAGGGGCATAACGACTGGGAGGAAGCCAGAAACAGTGGAGGCTGGGGGACTGGTTGAGAGGGTTCCCAGTGCAGAACAGGATCAGACGTCTCAGGAGGGAGGCATCTCCCAGTTCAGCTTGGGGCTAGGCTCACAGTGGTCCTGGAATTCAGGATTGACTAGTGCGTAATGCATAAAAGATTCTACATGGCTTTGCACTTAGTTACAAGACAAGTTATCCAGTCAAGAGAATGGATAAATAAGTCATAAATAAGTCATCACTGTCATATTCTATTTACCAATATACCCTTTCAAGAGCAGACCCCTCAGAGTCTGTCTGGACCCTGCTGACATTACCTCCTCTGGTTCTGTCTTCAGGGAGGCCAGTTCCTGGGACAGCCCTCAGACAGGAGCCTGTCATTTTCTCCTCTTCTTGAGATCTCTAGAGAGTGGGACAGGCTGACAAGAGATGTTCTTGTGTGTACCCCATAGTCCCCAGATTGCAGAGTTCCCACAAGGACCTCACGTTCCACAGTTTGAAAATACTGAAGACCAGGCCCAGGCCTTCTGATGCCCAAATGAGACTGGACTCCAGGTTTTACCTGATGATGTCCCATTAACTAACCAGTGGCTCCCCCTTCTGTCTGATACTTTATCCTAGTTCAGCTTCACAACACAGGTCAGCAGAGAACTCACCCCACCTCCCAGTCTCTCATGGTCCTGTGCTCCCATGGCTTATCTCAGACCTTGCCCAACAGGCCCCAGAACCTCAGGCTCACCCACCATGACTTACCAAATGGCATTTTGCCAGGAAGAACAGTAGATGGCTAAACACCCAGGGGTGCAGGCCCCAGGGCTTACAGGACTAGGGGAGGGCAGTGCGAATCTCCAGGCCACACACTTCCAAAGAGGCAGATGTCACTCCATCAGTAACAGCTGTCATGTTTCCTTTCACAGCCAGAGCTGGCTTCCTCGGGAGGGGAGTGTACGGAGGCTCCTGTGTGCAGATTCCTGCTGCCAAATCTGCAATGCCATGGCTCTGGAGATTCAGCAGTTGTTGGTGGGTGAGAACACCCTGATCTCTTCCACTTCACCGAGGCCATCACAGGGCTCCTCCTGCCTAGAGGTCTTGTCCATGTCTACTGTGTCTTTTGAGCAGAGCCTAGAGCATCATTCCCCACAATCCAAAGACCTTTCACTTCCATCTGCAACCCCCACAGTGTTACAGTTAATGGATCAGAGATCCTTAACACAGTCAGCTGCCCAGTCCGCAGGTGAGGTCAGCCTCCATGATTACTGGGCTGAATACATCCAGCTAGGGCGGGAATTTCAAGTGCTAGAGATGACCAGGGGCGCAGAGATGATATCTTCTTCAAGGTTGGAGGAGCCTAGGATCCCAGGGAACCAGCAGGAGATGATGCAGAGCAACCCCAGCCTCGTCTACGGGAACCAAGGTCAGCAGCCCTTGAATTCCCAGATCTCTCTGCTGACTCAGAATGGAGAAATCACCACCCTGACACACCCTCTGGCCTTGCATATGGTCACTGTCCTCCCTGCCCACCTGCCATTCCTCAGTCCTGAAGTCCTGAG